TGCAAATTCATCCTCATTCCTGGCGGGGGGGGGGGGCAGGGTATAATGCAGATATTCTGCAGCAGCTGGAGAAATTATCTTTATACACAAAAGCTGAAATTATATAAACTTGGAAGGCAACAGGTTATGAAACCATATAAATTTATGTTCAGGCTTCCAAACAATGTTTTCCTTCCACCCTTCTCCTCTCCCCACTAAACTGAGACATCAAGTCTGGGATTGGAGTATTACAGCTATGATCCGCGCCAAAGTGACCAAATTACAACTGATGACTTTTGGCTCCAGGATGTTTCAACAGACTAATGTCTGCTGAACCATCACCACCCCTCCCCACCTGACTCACACCCGCACCCCACGTGCTCAGGGAAACGCCATTATTTCATTATTCTTAAGAAATATCTATCAAAAAGGTAGAGGGAGAGGAATGACTTTATATATCTTACAGAGGAGAGAACAAGAGCAGAGATTACTTATAATTCCAAGTGAGACTGTGACATTTCAGGAGAAGAATATTGGCAAGTCATGCTGATTTTCTGAAAGTTGCTGGGCAAGTTTAAAAAGCAACTGGAAAGTTTATCAGAGCAGCTACTTCCCTGACAGGCACCAGGAGAAAGAATCTTAGACAATGAGGGCAGATTTCTGGCTTGTTGTCAAGATGCTGACCTATCTTTCCCAGGAACAAATGCAGCTGAAAGAGAGGCCTTGGAAATACAGGCACATTGGCAATGGAATCCCTTATTTTACAGTGCAAAAAGACTATATAAACCACTGTGAGGTGAACTACTGGATGTCTGTATGTGTCATTAGAGAAAGTTGTGAAATTCTATAAATATTGAAAAAACAGGAATGGTGTAGAGATTACCCTTTGCAAATACTTCCAGGAATGGGCATACTAATGTCTTAAGACCTTCAACAACCTTGTGGGAATCAGTGACGTTCGAAAATTCCTTTGCAAAGCTTCCATATTAGTTCATAAACTAAGAGATTAATACACAGTTCTGGAGAATACTTAAAGTACTTTCATAACCACGATTTCACTTTACCATCATAACAACCCTGTAAAGAATTGTCATTCCCCATTTTATAGAGAAGGGACCAGTGTGTGAAAGTTAAACACTTGCTCTGAAGGTTATCACAGAGGAAAAATAGGAGCCAGTACTAAGTGTTGGTGCCAATAAGAGCCAATGTTTTAAATCCTGGCTCTCCAGTGGGTGACTGTTATGTTTGTAGTGGCAGAGTGGTCTGGTGTCACAGATGAGATTGGCACAGGCCTGAGTACCCAATACAAATTTGTCATAGTTAGTATTTATTTATAGCTGATATATAAAATATTGGTAGAGCCAAAGGGAAACAGCTGCAGATCCACATATTTCGCTGTTGGAGTTAAACGTAAAACATCTTTTTATTCAAAGATTTGGCTTCCTATTGGGAGACCCTAAAGAAAACTGGATAATTTTACAACAAAGGAAATACTTTGGATTTGCACAAGTGTAGCTGTATTTTTTGATGATGTTAACAATGGCCACTCTCATTTATAAATGTCAAATCAATCATCCCAATACACATTGTGACCATCATCAATGTGTCAAATTACAGTTTAAATAAAAGGGAGGTGAACATGCCAAGGCTCTTGGACATCCTCTCAAGTCTTCATCATTACCAACGTCTTCCCAGTTAAAAGTGTGCAGACCCTAGAAGTCACTTCATCTTTCTAGGTCTCAGCTTCTCATGTGCCACATCAAGGTACTGAATTAGATGATTGGGAAGGTTCCTTCTATTTTTTAGGCTAAATGTTAGTATAGAACAGGATGCCTGCCCAGCTTAATAACATATTTAAGTTCACTTAAATATATATATACTTATATATATATTAAACTGGTATATATTAAATATATATACCTTTTTACTTTGAACTAGTACCATTGATGGGAACTTCAAATGCTAGCATAGAAGATGAAACTAGAAACTAGCATCAGAGCTCAGCAGAATCTCGACGGTTATTTCTGAACCAGGAATGAGGTATGCAGAGAGAGATGAAGACCAGATCCATTTAAGAGATGTTCACATATATGTGTCAGTGCTGCCTAAGCCCCTACAGTCAAGATCCAGAATGCTGGCTATTTTAATCTCCAACAAATACTACACATCAGTCATTATAAAGACCTATTTGGCAAGGGTCCTCCTGGTCATCTTGTATGGGAGCCACCCTGCGTTTCAGCTGATGAAGTTGGCCTCCGATGCTGAAATGCCTCAGCTGCTCACAACCTTGACAATTCACTTTCATTTTCATTTTAAGAGAAAAGAAAACAAACATCTGACTCTTGGAAGAGCGAGGGGATCCAACTTGATGCTGGAAATCTGACCACAGGCGTGGAGAGAAAGTGTATAGGAGGTAGGCTTAGAGTTTTCTGGCATTGATTCAGCTTGTTATTTTCTTTAAGACCTAAAATCTCAGCTCTAAGGTAGGCTGCAAAGCTCACTAAAACTCCAAGAAGCCTCAAAACCATCAAGCTCAGTAGACCTACATTCTTGGCTCTACTTAAAGACAAAAGGGGAGACTACATATGTGCAGATTATATGGAGTGACAACAACCTCACTGGTCAGAAAGATTAAATAAAGAGTTCGAATGAAGGGGATTTTCCTCCTCAGGCAGTGAAGCAAAATAAACACATCAAGTACTAACTGTCTTTGTGAAAATCTTTTGTTGTATAGGCAAACAATTATGAGATAAGAAATAAGAATAAACAACAAAATGCTTTGATGTTTTAAAAATAGTCACTCACCAAAACAGAAATAATTAGATTTATGAGTAAACAACATGTTACCAAGCATCCAAAGAGAGAAACAGAAGAGGTAACAGAGATCTGAGAAGTAGAAAACAAAACTAAGTTTAATACGATAATGAGTAAGAATGCATTTAGCAGAGTTCCTGATTAGGCAGAAGAGGATTCTAGGAAGTGGCAAACTGAAGTGAGCGTATGGAATATGGAGATTCTTCTTTTGTGTTTTGTATAGAAATAAGTCTTCTGTTTCTGTAGACGACACTTAAAAAGCCAGCTGGCCTTTAGAGAACACTTACTTCCATCACATACCAATCGAACTGCATGGAAACACAGTTTATAGCATATCAGTTGACTTTTTGCATAGAGCTAATTGTTTTTTAAAAATTTAATCTTTATTGTATTTTTTCCCATTACTATTTAGTCCCCTTAGAGCCCCCTCCCCCCAGCAATCACCACACTGTTGTCCGTGTCCATGAGTCCTTTTTCCTTTTTGTTTAATCCCTCCCTCCAACCTCGCCGCCCCGCCCCTACATCCTGCTCTCCATCTATGAGTCTGTCCCCATTTTCCTTGTTAGTTCAATTTGTTCATTAGATTCTACATGTGAGTGAAATCATATGGTATTTTTCTTTCTCTGACTGTCTTATTTCACCTAGCACAATGTTCTCCAGGTCCATCCATATTATAGGACTAACTGTTCTAGTAGAAAAATTCAAATTGTCCCATGCAATATGTCTTCTTAAAAGTTTCATTGTGAAATTTAATTATTGTTAGGATCACATTTTTCTCATGAAAACACAATTCCAATGGACTCAAGAGGTGAGAAGCTTTAATCATGATTTTCATTCATAATTCAGGTCAGTGGGAAAGTCTTATTTCATTCACAGAACACTGGATTCAGACTTTTGCCATTTTTCCCCTGGAAGGTACAGCTGATTTCATAATCACTATGTTACCCTGAGATATGAACCAGTGGATGAATCCACCTATATAATTTAAGAATGAAGAGCTAACGATAATATCGCTCTATATCACACACTTTTCAAAAAATTTTCCCCTCTTAGATTTTAATTTCACAACATCCTGGTGGGTCAGCTGGATATTGTTAATCCTCTTCTTATAGAAAAGGGAAGATATGATCTAAAGAAGAAAGACAACGTTTGCAAGCTCACGTGGCAAACCAACAGCAGAACCGAGTACTTTACTTTTTCCTCAACACCATTTAGGCTTTTATCAAAATACGTAGGCAGAGAGGTAACCGCAGTGGTAGCTACAGTAGCAAAATGATAGCAGCCGTCATTTGCTGATGGCCGGCGGTGTGCCAGGCGCAATACTGAGCATGATATATATATTCTTCTTAAAATAATTACTTGGAATAATAATACAAGCAGGCATCATCTCATGTCATGGTTAGGGGTCTGAGGCACAGAGTGGAAGAACTATGACTTAGGTCACACAGCCAGTGCACGGCACAGGTGTGATTCAGCTTCAAATCTATCTGACTGTTCAAGGATACACTTTTTCTCTGATGGGAGGACTGGGACTATCGGACTTCAAGTCCTCACACCTGTGCTCAGAAATCACCTTTCTTGGTGAGGACTATCCTGAACACTCTATTTACAATTGCAGCCCTGTTGCTCTCGTGCCAAAGTTCACCCGCCTTAAGTCACAATTACACGATTTAATTTTTATTTCTAATATTGATTGTTAATATGCTCCAGCGGACAAGACTCTTAGGGTCTTTTTTCCGTTTTTGTTTTTGTTTTTACCAACACATCCCAGATGCTTAGACAGTGCTATCCAATAGAACTTTTTGTAATGACAGAAATGTTTTTCATATGTGCTATACGGTAGCTACTAGCCACATAGTAAAACTGAAAAGTGGCTAGTGCCACTGAAAGACTGACTCGTTTATTTTATCTAATTTTTTAAATTATATTGAAATAACCAAACTTTTTTCAATAGAATTAATGGATAAAAAATAGGTCTAGATTAAACTGGAAAAAGTTTGAAAATTCAGGTGTTATGACTAAAATAGCAAGCGCACATTCTCAAACTATTGGCTCCTCTTTGTCATCTGTAATTCAAAGCTTTCCAAAACACATTTCTGAAAACAGGGAAAGCAAACTAGCAACAGACAATGAATTCCCATGTATGACATATAGATACACACACACATATATATGTTATTACTGTGATTATTATAATTACTCAGTACCTTTTTGACCTTGTTTTTTTTCTCATAGGTCTCTGAAAGAGGTTTTTTCTTCTGCTGAGTTGTGTCTTTGGAGAATAAATACTCAAATTCACTAGTATCCCGAATATTAGGCTCTTCTAAGGAATCCCACAAGGTTGGTGTACCACTTTGGCTTAAAAGAGAAAATGAGAAATTAAATTTAACAAGCAAAACATAAGAGAACAGAATACAGTAAAATTTCTAATTCATTTTTTTAACTCATCAAAAAATAATAAAAGTTTACAACTTGATTTTTTCAAAAAATCAACCAACTGAAAGCACATGTTTGTACAAGTCTTAATTAAAACACACACACACACACACACACACACACACACACACATCCTTAGTATAGATAGTTTGGGAAGGCTTTTTGTGTTACACATTTTTTAAGTCAAAATATAATATGCAGCATTAAAGAAAATACATATTTCCAAAACAGAACGGTCATTAGATACAATCAGAGAGAGAGGGAAAGAGAGAGAGATGTAGAGAAACTTTGAGGGAGCAAAAATCCTGGGATTCAGACTGTTGTGGCCATGTGAGCTGCTTCTCCCTCAGTCTGTGGCGTCTCCATGATGGATAAACATGGGCATTATGTAAAAGCTGAAGGATAACCAATCTTGAGACAATAATGGGATAATTCTTAGAGAGTCCAGCAGAAGTAACACCTGCTTGGGTGTCTTTAGTAGGGTAATGATACGGGAGTATTAATTTATAGTTTTAACCCTTGAACGTTTCACCTAAATGTTATATGGTGTGCTTGAGTGTGGTATTGAGTGTGTTACAGAATTACATGCTTATGATTTTGTAACAAAAGATTTTATGCCCTGGCTGGTGTGGCTCAATGGATTGGGTACCAGCCTGTGAACCAACGGGTCACTGGTTTGATTCCTGGTCAAGGCACATGCTTAGGTTGTGGGCCAGGTACCCTGTAGGGAGCATGAGAGAAGCAACCACACATTGATGTTCCCCTCTCTTCCGTGCTCCTGTCCCCTCTCTCTAAAATAAATAAATAAATAAAATTTTAAAAAAAGATTTTGTAATAAAAAAGGGGCGTTATTTGTGCTGGACCCTGTAGCCTGAAAGTGCAGTTTACCTCTCCTTGGATTTCTTCCACTGGTTTTAAATATGATTTCCTGGTCAACTTAGCCCAGGACCCATAATACGTGAATGAGTTGTGCTCATGTAGAAATACTCAATTTATAATACCTTACCCCAACAACAGTATTAATAATAAAAACCAAAAACTCCATTGCACCAGCTCTCCCTGGAGTTTCAACTAAGGCAGTCATGGGGAAACAGTTTTTTTTTGTCTTCAAAAAACAGGGCCACCCTAGTTTTGAAAGAAAGAAAGGGAAGGAGATATGGAAAATCCAAGGTAGGAGGGCTGCTCTGAGCGCTGACTCAAGGGAGTTGCTGCTCAGGCTCCCTGTAGTCAGCACATATTTCCTCCCAAATACCCACCTTCTTAACTTAGTTCCTAATCTAATTTTTAAACACTGTTAATGCAAACAGAAAAAAATAATGTCTTGCCTATACATTTATTGGTTTTCAAACATATTACATGATATAATCTATAGTATCTATAAGCTCTTACCTTTCAATGTATATTATTTCAATATGTGTTTTCTCCATGAAAACATCTCTTTATTAGTGTATAAAGTGGTTCGCAAAAATTTTTGTTACTAGCAGGTGATTTTCATATCCAAAATAGTTGGAAACACTGGCTTCTCAGGTGCGCATGTTCACCTTCTGCCATGTGCCTGCCTCTTCCCTGAAATATGCCATTTTGGTTCTGGCCTCATTCATTTCTCTCCACTTTTTGTTAAATTATAATTTTTTCAAATATAATATTTGAGCCACTTAAGAGCATTTATGTAACATATGTGAGTTATAACATAACACAATATAAGAAATACTTGTAAAATCATCGCCACAGGCCAGGCCCTTTTCAATGAAGTCCATCCATCTTTGTGCTCCTTCCTCAGCCACCCACCTCTGCCATTCAACTTCAGTTTGAAACACAAGCACCACTGATGTGAAGCGTTAACTCATCTGCACCCAGAAAGAGGGATCTTGATGCAAGAAGAGGACCAGGGAATTTTGGAGCAGCTGCTGTTAGGTGCTGCTGGTTTGAGCCTCACGAAGGTTCTGGGAAGCGGAGGAGAGGGGGCTTAAAGCGAGCTGATGCAGTGCACAAGGCAGATTGTTCAGGTCCTCCTGCATCATCTCTTGTACCTGTATTGCATGCCCAGCTCCAAAGACTCAGAGCTCAGGCCAGTATGACCAGGGCTATGATTCACATTCTGGGGCAAATTAAGTCTGGAAGTCAGGTTGAGCATTTTGCCACCATTTATGACACTGTTTCTATGGGAAAATACATTTCCAATAATGTTTAAAGGACTTCTGAAATACCACCTCTCAGTGAGTTGGGGATACCTAGTGTTTTGTGGGGCAGTAACAAGAACTCACTTACAATGGGCTATCTGCATGCATGGTCAACTCTTTTCTGACCACTGAATGGTACAATTTTAGCTCAAAAGAAGAGGAAGGCAGGGGAGGAAGGAGGAGAAAGGTGTGGAGAAGGGGCAGATGGAAGAGGGAGAGGAAGGGAAGAGGGGAAAGAAGACTAGGAATATAGATATTTATTAGGAAGATGAAAAAATAGAGAAATGAGGATTTTTAAAATGTATTTGTTTTATTTTTAGAGGGAGGAGGAAAGGATAAAGAGAGGGAGAGGAGAGGGAGAGAAACATCAATGTGTAGTTGCCTCTCGCGTGCCCCCTACTGGGGACCTGGCCCACAACCCAGGCGTGTGCCTCGACTGGGAATCAAATCAGTGACTCTTTTGTTCACAGGCCAGCGCTTAGACCACTGAGCCACACCAGCCAGGCCTATTTTTCTTTAAATAAATGTCTCTTCCTTGTCCTAGAAACCTGAAAACATACCAAAAAAAGAAAAATGGCAGAAGTTAAAAATGTTAGCAGTGAAAAGCAATATAGGTGGACAAGAGGCAGTGTATGTAGTGGGAAAAATTCATATTTTACTCCTAGTTCCCCAGAAGACCAAGACCAAACTTTTTCATGTGTACATTACACAAAGAGCCTACAATATCCAGTTGTACAAAATATTACAACACATTTCATCTGCTTTAGAAGAACACATCCCAAATAATTTTACTTTCGTCCTCAAATAAATACTACACAGAATCTTTAGACCATTTTAGTTTCAGAGCAATAGCCATGCTCTTCAGAAAAAAATATCTTCAGACTCCTATAATAAGAGACAGAACGTGCGGTGCAGCAGGAATGCCCATGTTGCCACCTTCACACATCACAGTGGGGAGCCTCCCCCTTCCCCGTAGCGTAGCTCGAGGCTGACATGCTCACCAAACAGGGCTCTCCTGATGTCCCAGGTCAGGAAAGCTCGTGCATTCAGCTACTTTTCATTATGCTCAAAACTGAAGCCCTACATTTATGGTAAAACTAATAAAAGCATGGCCATTCAATTGTTTTCTTTCTCGAAATGGCCAACTACATAAGAAAGGGAAAACACAGACATTGCTTATCTCCAGTTTGACTTTGTCGCCCTGCGAACAGTGGGCAAAGGGCCCATGTCTCCCAGCAGCACTGTAATACCCTTGGTATAGTCTATGATACTGGTTGTTCATTAAGTCTTGCGGGGCATGAAGTGGAGGCAGCTATGGACAGCAACGTGTGCTGTCTGAACAGGTGGGATTCGTCACCCTGGAAGGGCTGCACCTTAATTTCAGGACACTAATAAAGGAAATGACATCTGAGTCTTGAATGGGAAAAGGGGAATATTAGTATTTTAGCCAATGGTAGGAGCTATTTTAGGGTCATCTCACGCTTTTTTAACTATTCATCTGGAAAATTATAAAGCACGAACATTTAAAAAATTATCAGGATTTTCCCCATATATAAACTCTTGACCTCCCCACCTTTTGTGTGTGTGTGTGAGAGAGAGAGAGGAAAGGGACCAATATGAAGTACATAATCAACTTAGTTCACAATAGGCTTAGTTTTAAGGTATTCTCCACTCCTATATTGATTTCCAGTTACTTTATAATCATGAATTACACGTTATCTTGTTCAATATCCTGCCTTCTCCGAGTAAAATGTTATATAAATCGAAAAATTTATCACTGTATCTGGACTTGTAAGTTCAAAAACTTAACTCTAAAAATATGTTCTGTATTTTTGTTCTTTGCAAACAAATGGACTTCAGACCTAGACAGTAGTCAAGAAGCAACTCAGTATCTCCCATTATCCTTTTGCCAGGCTCTGAAATAAGGCAGATGAAATCCTTTTCAAATTTGTTTGATTGAAAGTGTCCAAACCACCATATATTGCTGCCTTACAGACCCAGTTTAAGAAGCTAAACAAATGTAAGGTGCTTTTTAGCTATTCACATGCTAGCACTTTCTCTGATGGGCAATGAGGTATAAGACGCGAGGCACAGAGCAGTTAGGGAAACCAGAGTTTCAGCAGAGAGTTTCCGTTCTTAGACTCCGCTCTGACATAAAAAGCAAATGACTCAGCCATGTCTTGTTTCTTTAATGAAAAATGAAAAAATACACATACCTGTTAGAAACAAGATCACAAGTTTAATAATACTATCTAAAGACAAGACAGATATTCTAAAAATCTTCAGTGAACCTACAGTATATATTCATCCTCAATGTCTTTATGACTATTCACTAATTGTAGAAATGTTGGAGAAGGCTTTAACTTAGATCTGAGCTCTTCCCTAGTCTATGAAATGGACTATTTATTTTAGAGAGGAATCTGACACCTAATATGTCATCTCTCCCAGTATCAATCCAGAGAGAATCAGACAACATGTGGTAGAGAGAGACCTTCTCCCCAAAACACTCCCACTTTGTCTATCCAAGGCATTCACTGTACCACATTTGAGAATGAGTGCTACACTACACAGATAGATATTAAATGGGTAAGAATAAAATATCACTCATGTAAAATTCTGGGAATTCCCAAGCTGAAAATGGGCCAGGGGTGTTGAGCTTACCTCTTATCACTTATTTGTATTCTAGTCCAGTACAGAGGCTTCATGGGACAGCTGGGCTCTATGGCTGGCTTCCGAGGACATTGGCTAGAAGGAGGGCTGACTCCGAAGAAGAGGCCAGGAGGAGGTGGGGGCACAAGTCCCGGGGGGGTTGGAGCAGGAGAGGGCCCCCCACTGTTGGGCAGAGCAAGTGAGTTAGGAAGTGGTGGTGGGGGAGGAGGCGGGGGAGGCCCAGCACTTGGAGGCAGAGGAGGTGGCGGAGGTGGTGGTGGCCCAGCACTCACAGGTGGTGGTGGAGGTGCTGGTGGCAAAGGTCCAAGTCCAGGTGGGAGGGGAGGAGGGGGAGGGATGGCTGCTGGTAGGGGTGGTGCTGGGGGGAGAGGGGATGCATTTTCCTGGCTTGCTGAGGTGCTTTCCACAGACTGAAGTGGTGCATGGATGTCTTTGTTGTCATTTGTGGGAGAAAGTTGGCTTAAAGAGGAGATATTCAGCTTTTTGGGTATTATTTGGTTGCTTCTGATTGTCTTGCCTTCGCCTTCACAGGGTTTGAGGAAAGTCTCTCTGTCTGTCTGGATGCACACGGTTCTGTAGGTCTTGGGAGGGCAGTCATCATCGGTGGAGATACACACATCTTTCATCTCTCCGCCGCCTCCTCGCCGTCGGTGTTCTATCTCATGTTTGAGATTTTCAATGGTTTCTTCTAGTCTCGCAGTTGTCACTGCATGCTCACCCCGGATATGAAAGGCCTGAAGTTCAAACTGAGCCTGTAGAGATATCAGTGGGGAGGAAAGTAAAGCGTTTCTAAGAACAAATATCAGAAATAAAAAAGTCAATACTGTCCCCATAGCATAGCTCACACCAATGCAGGCAAACACAGATTCTTTTGAGATTCCAACGAGGTGTAAATTTCACTTTATGAATTTTCCAAGGACTTAAACAGTTGGAGTAGAGGCAGAATTTCATCCAGTATGAACTCATGGAGAATAATTACCATGGATTAAGGTTTATAGTAAAACTGTCATCTAAGAACTTTCACCTGGTTTTTAATATCAAATGCGAAGACAAAATTTTTAATAAATGTTTGAATAGGCTTGAAAATATCTTTTATTACTTTTGGATTCAGTTTGGGAAAACAAAACATTTTGAGAAAAAATTAGATTGGGAGATCGTACTGGCTTGGAGCTGCTATTCTCACAGTCCTCCTTAGACTGTCTCCTCTATGGGGTTTCCCAGGCAATACAGCAGAAATAAACGGCGTAAGAAGCTATAATCTATGTACATTTTTTTTAAAGTGTCCACACCAAACCTTCCCATGATAAGTATTTTGTGCCTTTCATAATCGTTCATAATACAGTAAGAAATAAGCAATATAAATGCATTGAAAATGAGAATACCAAGATTTGCTATTTTTCTCTCCTACATATCCAGCATTTTAAACTCTACTTTATGGTAGTCTTTTTAATACTTATATTTTCAACTATTTCAGTGCCTTGAGTCTATGGCTTTACACTTGTTGGCTCAGACCTGCCACACTCCCAGTCAGTAACCAGCCCATTTCCAGTGAGCCTATTGCAGTTAACTGGGAAGCAGTCAAATTTACAATTTTATTAGAGTTTCCAAAATCCAATTAACAGTAATTAAATATTCCCAGAGAATTATTTAATTTTTGCCTACCCCATCAGATTGTAAACTCCACAAGATGAAATCAGAGGCAGTATCTGCCTTAATTTCTGTACCCCAGAAGCCAGCACAGCCGGTACATAGTACTGAAGAGATGGATAGCTAAAACACACTGCAATAGCTATTATATATCCAGTCACTCCCCCAAGAGCCTTCCTTATGGCTAATAAATCTTTCCTTACTATAATTTCAGCCCACAAATATCTAGAACACCAACATGTATACAAGTGCAGATCCATTTTGCATCAAAAAGGTAAAGAAATATTTTTAACAGCCTAGTCAAGAAAGGCCAAGAAGACATAGGGAGATTTTCTACTTTCATTAAGACACTTCTAACTATGTTTTTATTAGGTTCACCTTGTCCCTCATGAATCAACCCCCAAATAACTATGGTTAGTAGAATTAAAGACAAGGCTTTTTGTAAAGCTGACCTTCTCATATGTGGACATGGCAGCTCCAGTTCAACTTGGAACAAATTAGCAAGTTCAGGGCACCATGTATTCTCGTAGAGCACAGAAATATTTAGCACCTGAGTTCTGAATTCATACTCCCTGGTTCACATCCTGGCTTAGCTATTTGCTAGCTCAATAATCTTGGGCAGGAAACTTCATGTTTTCAAGCCAGAGTTTCCTCAAGTATAAAGTGAGGATAATAGTGAACCATGTCTAGGGTTTTTATAAAGATGAAATGAAACACTTCCTATAAAGAAGTAGGCATTATGCCTGAAACATAGTAAATTCTGAATAAATGTTACAGTTAGTTATTATTGATCATGACAATATTACAGTAGGAGACTAACAGATCTCGAATTCCTAAAAATTTCCAATAATGCCACCTTTGTAGAGTGATGGGCACAAAACCAAGGAAACACTTAAACAGGAAGGACAAACAATGTACTACAAATACAAACATTTAGCCAATCTTTCATGAGTTCTTCTACCAAATGCCCCAAAGTAATTTCAAGCTTCACTCAACTATGTGCTCAAGATAATCTGTTTCAACATCCTACCTATCTCCCTCTCCCTCCCCTGCCCACCTCCACCTGGGTCCCAGCCCTGATCCCACCCTGAATTACCTGCAACATTTCATTTTAGTGACTAGTTCCAGTCTGCTACAACTAACTCACCCTTTTAAAAAAATGTTTTAGTTTTGATTTTACAGAGAGGGGAAGGGAGGGAAAAAGAGAGAGTGAGAAACATTGATGTCAGAGAGAAACATCAATCAGTTACCTTTTGTATGCATCCCAAGGGACCGAACTTGCAACACACACATGTGGCACAACCAGGAATCCAACCAAGGACCTTTCCATTCATGGGATGACGCCCAAACAACTGAGCCACACTGTCTGGGACCACAGCTAATTAACTCTTTGTTGTTATTCCCAACTAGCCTTCCTCCAACAAGATTAGTGTCAAATATTGATGAGCCAACAATTTTACTCAATCTTCAGCTTCTTAGTAATATGAAAAAGTTGTACAGACATGCTCCACAGAGACTCTTTCCCTTTATCTCACAGCTGGCCCAAAACTACATCAAAAGCCCTGGTCCCTACCTCTCCAGCTTTCCATCCAACCAACCATCTCCTGAATATGCTGAAGCTAAGGATACACCTAAATACCATTTTGGTGGCTCTGTAATTCATTTGCTTAGTGTAGAGGGTAGAGCACAAATTGGGAAGATTATTATAGTGCTGCATACCTCAGTTTTCTCATAAGTAAAATGGGGATGATAACAGAAACTCACCTTACCAGGCAGTTATGAGAAGAGGGATGAGTTAAGAGATGAGGTCTGTCCGGAAAAAGTCCAGCCATTGTTAATATAACAAGAACAGTTTGAGAGATATGTATATAACCTAGCAGCCAAGGAGAGTGGACTGGAATGTGTATGCGTGAACAGTGACAAGTTCACTGAACTAGTCAGTGGAGGTGGTTGATGTCACTGAGTGAGCATGTGTACTGCGTGACCATCACATTCAAAATGACTGAGCAAGTAGAGCAATGAATCTACATCAAATTTTGCATTAAGCTTGAACATTACTCTGCAGAAACTATTCAGATGATTCAGAAGGCCTAAGCTATGGGTGACTAGTGAATGGCAGCTTTTGCCCCCACTGTCTTACTGAAACTACACAATTTGAGTGTTATATCCGGTCAGCACTTTTCAGTGGTTTTGTCCTCTGGGCTGCATTGTTAAAGATGACTATTGCCCATGCCTTTAAATTCTCTGTTTCCCTAAACTGATATATCCTCTCTGCCCACTCCCATTTTCCTTCCACTTCTGGGCTCTCTCTCTGGTTAACCTGTGGACTCATCTCCCTCCATTCATCCCTTAAATGGTGTTCGCCAGGCATCCTTCTTGTCATTTCATTCTTCTCAAACCATACCACCTCTGGGTCATCTTGTGTACTCGTATGAAATGACACTCACTTACTATAAACTGTCACTTCCAAACTGTCACCTTCAAACTGTGATGCCAGCTCTCCTCAGGACCTGCATAAATAATCAGCCATCTCAGACTCAATAGGCCTGAAAACAAAGTCATCTTTGCCTAACTCCAGGTTGTCCCTCTGAAATCCCTCCTTGCAGTTAATAGCACCATCACCGTTGTGGTCATTACACTCAGAAGCTTGGGCACCATGTTGAGTCTTTTATTCTCTTTCATTCCCAACATGTTACTTATTGATGACTTACATTAATTTCTCTGATTCATCCTTTTCCTTCCATCCCCACTGCCTCAGCTTTTCATGGGGTCCTCATCACCTGGACAATGGCAAGAGCTACCTAATTCATTTTTCCCATCCTACTGTGGCCACACTGGTTCAAGAGGATTTTTTTCAAAAAAAAAGAAGATTTTTACTCCTTAAAATCCTTTCAATAATTGGTCATTACTAACAGAGTTACCATGAAAACTTTTTTATATGAACACACTGAAAGCTCTTCCAATTCACCTTCTGCCAACTTGCTTTGCTTTTGGCCCATGCCCCTTCCCCAGATACGTCCTGGATTCCAGTCTCACACAACATCTTGTCTCTCCTAGGACCATGCTCTTTCATGCATCTGAGCCTTTGCTAATGCTGTCCTCTCTCAATACCCCTCTGCCACAAACACGCAAGGTAAGGGGACAGATTACCAAGCACAGATCCCATGAATGGCTTCCTTACAAACTGTATTCACTGATAGGAAGAATTACCAAATAAGAAGGAAATGTTGAATTTCTACGTATTCCTTATCTATATGCTGAGATTATATATAGTAAGAAACGCTTCTGACCATTAAAATTTAAATGGTCCACATAAAGAAACAACTTACCTTTGCCCTTCGCTGTTTTAAAACCCCTTTGATCATACTGATTTTGTCTTGGTTGTGTTCAGAAGCTCAGCATGACATAGTAATTCAAAGTGATTAAAGTAATAAGCACCTCATTCATTCTGTATCTGTCCATATCCTATCAATTATTGCAAATTGTGCATGGCTCTGTTACAAATGAAGACTCTCGAATCCATGCATACCATGAATTGAGCCTTTGGGAAAGCTAGTTTGTGAGTAACGCCATTTTTCACTCTACTTCCTGTTAAGTGCCACTTCTACTTTGCACATGGAAACCATGTGCCGCTTCCCATCCGGTGTCTAGAGCTGTAGCTGGAAGGACTGTTAATGATTTGGTGAATCAAACACAGACAGTAGAAAGTTCTGTTAGATAAGCATGTACTGCTGGATAATGTTTGCCTTGGATTGTAGGAATCTTTATGAAATGTCAAGTCCGCGTTCTTACAGCCAAAATTGCAGCTAAGGCTGGATCAAGGGAACATAATGCTTTTAAACCCTGTTGACTCTCTTCTCAGCGTCCTTTACTTTCACATCGAACATGGTGTTCTACACAGGAGACAAACAGTTACAACCTTCCATTCAGTGCTCTTTAGGACCTATAAGGCGTTGTGGATTTCCCTCTCCCTGACCCTCTCTGCTCAATATCTGGGGGTTTTTTTGAATTTGTCCCAATATATAATCTGAAAGGAGATAGGTACTAAGGTTTTATGTCTTTCCAGTCTTCCCCAAGTTTTTACCTACGAGACTTCATCCGGGGT